ACCTCTAGTACCTCCAGTAGTACCTCCAGCACCTCCAGCAGTACCTCCAGCACCTCCAGCACCAGCAGCAACTCCTGGACTAGTAGCTCCAGCACCAGCAGGACCGTACCCTCCACCACCAGGACTGCCTCGCAGAACGACCCACGCACGAATCGCCTGCGGCGAGAGCGTCTCAAGTAGAGCAGGCTGCGGTGGCTGTCCAGCTCCAGTACCTCTAGTAGTAGTAGCTCTAGCACCTCCAGCACCAGAAGCACCTCTAGTACCTCCAGCTCCAGCACCTCCAGCACCAGCAGCAGCTCCAGTACCTCCAGCACCAGGACCTCCAGAAGGACTCGCAGCACCCCCAGAGTCAGCACCCGAAGTCTCAGCACCCCCAGAGTCAGCACCCAAAGTCTCAGTACCCTCAGTCCCAGCACCCTCAGGCTCAGCACCCTCAGTCCCAGCACCCTCAGTCTCAGCACCCTCAATCTCAGCACCCTCAGTCCCAGCACCCTCAGTCCCAGCACCCTCAGGCTCAGTACCCTCAGTCCCAGCACCCTCAGTCTCAGCACCCTCAGTCTCTGCTCCAGTGTCCACAGCAGTAGGCTGCAGAGGCGGCGAAGACGGCAGAGGTGGGAACCCGGGGGGGGTAGCCAGACGAGGAGAGCGGGCACCCCCAGACTCACCACCCCCAGCCCCAGCTCCAGTAGTCTCAGCTCCAGAGTCCACAGCAGCAGGCTGCGGAGGCGGCGAAGACGGCCGTGGCGGGAAACCCGGGGGGGGTCGCCAAGCGAGGAGTGTGGCGAGTGGTCGCCGTGTCGTCGGCGACGGCGTCACCCCCCTCAGGTGAGTCAGAGGAGTCAGAAGAGATCTCAACTGGCTCATCCAAGGGGGGTGGGTCTACCTGGGACACACCTGAGGGAGCAGGACCCTGTGGGGGGAGGGGGTCTACCGGGGGGGGGACTGGTACCAGGAAGAGGGGTGCAAGGGGGACCGGGTGGGACGCGTGCGGGTGAAGTCGGTAGTAACAGACCGACTCTTCGAAGGTGACGTCCTGAGAGGACAGAACACGACGCGAGGCAGGGTGGTAGAACTGCCAGGGTGGAGCGTCGGTGGGGAAGCCCAGGAAGACACAGCGGAGAGTGCGAGGAGAGAGCTTGCTCGCTTTGGTATCGCGAACAAGGGAGAGCGCGCCCCAGACCCGAAACGACGACACATCACCAGGCTGTCCCGTCCAACGAAGTGTGGGCGAGGTCTCTGGAGCAGAGACACGGGGCCAGAGGTTGAGCTGATGCGCGGCGTATCGGACCGCAAACGGCCACAGAAAATGGGGAGCAGCCGCATGGATCATGGAGGTACGAGCAACCTCCATGATCAGGCCAATGCGACGCTCAGCGATCCCATTTTGCTGCGGAGAGGCCGGAAGCGTGAACGACTGGGCGATGCCCTCATCCTGGCAGAACGTCTCAAGGACGCCAGAAGAGAACTCACCACCCCTGTCAGAGTGCAGACGCAGGACTGGGAAGTCTTGATGAAAGCGCTCGTGTAGCTGGAGACGAGTAGCACAGATCCAAGGGATCAAAACACCGCTGACGTCCGCCTTGCGACGCAAGGGGAAGACTGTGGTGTAGCGTGTGTAGTCGTCAACAACCAGCAGGAAGTAGCGCTCCTGGTCCGTCCCACCGACGGGGGCCGGGCCCCACACGTCCAGGTGGAGAGTCTGCAGAGGAGCAGTGGTCGGAGGAAACTCGGAGGAGTGAGGAGCGGCGCGCTGCCGCCCCTCGACGCAAGGAAGACACGGAGGCGCAAGTGAGCGCGGGAGGGGGGGCAGGGTCTCAGGGAGGCCAGAGACCAGGAGCCGGGAGTGCATGCCGCGCAGACGCTGCAGGGAGGGGTGACCAAGACGGTGGTGCCAGCGCTGAGTCTCGTGCGTGAGTACTCTGCACGAGCAAGACGCAGCTAACTGCCCTGACGCAGACGCTCGACTCGACGCAGCTACCTGATCTGACTCAGCCACCTGTGCAGACGCAGTGGTCAGTGTGTACAGACTAGACCCAGGCTGACGAGTGAACGTAGCCAGGTGACGGCCAGTCCGGGAGCACGTACAGATCGCCACACGCTGCCCTCCAGGAATAAAGGTATCAACCCAGACATCCTGAATGGCAGCGTTGCTCACCAAGTTCGTCGAGAACGTGGGGAGGTGGAGACCTGACAAAGAACCAGAGGGGACTACTGGACAAGGGAGGACCGGGGAGGCTCTCGCAACCACTGGGCCCCCAGAGGGGTCAGCCAGTGAGACTGGGACAGGTGCTGTGAGTGGTGTGACTGTGGTGCAATCACGAAAGAAGCAACGTGACGCGCCTGAGTCAAGCGTGAAAGTGTGCAAGACCTCAGCTGAGGCAGGACCTGTGGTAGTAGACGCACTAGCACCTAGAGCGTCGGTAGACTCACGGGCACCTAGAGCTGCAGCAGACTCACTAGCACCTGGAGCGGCAGCAGACTCACTAACACCAAGAGCAGCAGTCCTAACAAAACGATAACCTCCACCACCAGGACGACCTCGCTGAATAACCCACTCACGAAGCTGCTGAGGGGTGGGGTTGTCTGGGAGAAGCAGTGCCCGCTGCTGTCCACCCCTGGCCGCAGCAACTGCCGCGGAAGTGGCCATGACAGACTGTGACGGTCAGGAGTAGGTCCAGCACCTCCAGCTCCTACAGCGCCAGCAGCACCTCCTGCACTCCCAGCAGCACCTCCTCCACTCCCAGTAGCACGAGTAGGAGCAGCAGCAGTAGTAACAGCAGCAGGGCGGCGCGCGGCCAGAGCAGGGCGGCGCGCGGCCACAGCAGGGCAGTAGTAGGCAGTAGCTCCTAGGGCAGAAGCACCTAGGGTCCTCTTTTTTTTTTTTTTTTTTTTTTTTAATAAACAATTTAATTATATTTAGGGTATAGCAGGGCGCTGGCGCAGGGCAGGGCGCTGGCGCAGGGCAGGGCGTCAGCGCGCGCAGGGCAGGGCGCTGGCGCAGGTTGCAGGGGTAGGACGCGCGGGCTGCAGGGGCGCCGCGCTGGCTGCAAAGGCAGCTCGTACGGGCTGCAGGGGCCGTGCGGACGGGCTGCAGAGGCGGCGCGCGGGCTCCAGGGGCGACGCGCGGGCTGCAGGGTCCGCGAGGACGGGCTGCAGAGGCGGCGCGCGGGCTCCAGGGGCGACGCGCGGGCTGCAGGGTCCGCGAGGACGGGCTGCAGAGGCGGCGCGCGGGCTCCAGGGGCGACGCGCGGGCTGCAGGGTCCGCGAGGACGGGCTGCAGAGGCGGCGCGCGGGCTCCAGGGGCGACGCGCGGGCTGGCTGCAGAGGCGACGCGCGGCTGCAGGGGCAGCGTGAACGGGCTGCAGGGGCAGCGTACGGGCTGGAGGAGCAGCGCGCGGGCCACAGGGGCAGGTGCGGCTGCAGGGGCAGCACGGTAGCAGGGGCGAGCACGGCTGCAAGGGGCAGCACGGTCGTAGGGGCGAGCACGGCTGCAGGGGCAGCGCGGTCGCAGGGGCAGCGCACGGGCTGCAAGGGTCGCGACAGTGAGAGCTAGGGGCGCCAGCGCGCTGGCTACTGTGTAGGGCGTGGCGCTACCACTAGGCGGAACGGTGGGCCCATGTAGGAACGGTTCCTACTCTGATAACATGTGAAGAATACAACTAGGAATGATGGATTGGACTAGGCAAGAGGTGAGTACAAGTAGGGGAAACCTAACCCTAAAGTGTTGTACTCACTAAGGAGTGACCCTACTGTAGCCTAGAGATACAATTGTAATCTGACAGTACATTGTACCTACTGCACGCTGCGGTGGGTAGTAGTTTGTATGTATTAGCACATATGCGTACATACACCTCAGGAGTGGAGTAGCTACTTAGTAAGTACACAGCACGTTTATAGTACATAGTATGCAGGTTCGCGTTTACTACTTTGGGATGCAGTAAGTCGCAAAAGCGAGCCCATACTGACAAGCCCGACTGCTCCCCGCCATCTCCCTGAGCATTGCCCTTATTCCTCCCTTCTTCTCCTCTTTTCTTCAACGCGACTCTCATATTCCTCCCTTTGTTCCACTCCCTTGTTCGAACTATGACTGAATCTGTCAGGCTGAACGGCGACTACAACATCGTTTACAGCGTCGTCGCCTCCACTGCCGACGCCGGCGAGCCGACCTTCGCCGGCATTGCGAAAGACGTGGGGCAGGAGAGACTTGTCGCCGTCTTTTTCTCGCCCCCAGGGACCGACGGCCCGTGGGAGAATCTTACTCAGACGCAGTCTCCAGCGGCAAACCAGGGCAGGAAGAGCCTTACCGAGCCACCCGCTCCTCCTAAATACACCTATGCCTTAAACGGAACATGGCTTAAAGCGAGTACGCTGACGACGTACCAGGGCCTGACTTACAAGCAGCTGGTGGATTCGATTGTAGCGGGGCCTGATGGGTACTGCACGGGGTTCGGCACGGCGGCTTTCCAGGCGGGAGCAGCCATGGGGCAGTTCCAGGTTCAGCCCGTTGCTGCCAAAGCCTAAGACGTAGGGAGGAGGAATGTGCAACGAGTTGGAAGGGTGCAGCGGTGGGACTGTAGCACGAGAACCTGTGTATTGCTTGAATTGGAGGAGATGTATGTTCTATGCTGTAACATATATACTGTAAGAAGTACTTGAGAGTATTCTTTTCCCCAGTGACTCACTTCCTCTCACAGTCATCGTCATCCTCTCACAGTCAACCCTCCCTTTCACTGTCTCTCTTCCTCTAACAGTTACTCTCTCCCTCTCAGTCACCCTCTTGTCTCACTGCTTGGCGCATCACAGAAGTGATCCAGTTATCACAGCAGAACTGGGGTACCGTACGTTATTCTTGGCAATCCACTGACTGGCATGAGAGATAGACGATCGACTGGGCACTGCGTCCGTCCGTAGCGTTAACTTGATTGTCAGCACGAACCACATGTGCTTACCAACTCTAACGGTAACTACCGCGGGAAATCTCTGCTGAGCTCGCTGCTGTGTCATCGCGTGCATGGCTTGGGTCGTGACCTGATGTGCGCTTCCATCACCTCCAGGTGCCACAGGGACTCCCTGTTGGGGTCTGCGGTCAGATCCACCAGCTTGTGCACCTGGGGGGGGAGGGAAGAGCGGGACGAGAGGGATGAGAGGGAGGGGGGAAGAAGGGGAGGAGGGGAAGGAGGGAGGAGTCGGGAGGGAAGAAGAGGGGGGCCGGGCGGAAGAGGGACAGGGCGGTGAAGGAGGATTGCAGTCAGATCCACTAGCTTGTGCACCTGGGCCAGTGGGGAGAGGGTGTAAACGGGGAGTGCGATGGGCATATGAGGATTGCTAGACAACAAGCACTCGTGCACCCCCCCAATCCGCCCCAACCCCCATCCCCCATCCCCCCCATCCCCCCCATCCCCCGTCGCCCCCATCCCTGGAAAAAGTGCACTTTGACCAGCGGAGAGAGATAATGGAACATGGTGTGCACATGGCCTGGAAGTGGCAGGTGGGTGTTATCATTTGCTTGGAGAACGGCGCAAAGCTAAAAAGTCAAGCAGGGCGGTGGGAGACAGGGGGTGACAGGTGTGGCGAGCCGCAAACACACGCACAGTGCTGCTAGCAGCAACGTCCGCAGCACGAATGACGCACCAGTGAACGTCTATGTGCTAGCAGCAAGTTCACTGGTCCGCAGAGTTTATAGAGTGAAGTAAAGGGTTGTGGGTTCACACGAATGACGCACCAGTGAACGATGGTGTGCAGTGCAGTGCGGTGCGGTGAATAATGGTGTGAGAAGAAAGGGAGTGCAGTCACCTTGATGAATGGTGGGCTGGCAGGGCGGGTGCAGAGAGCACCTATGACCTGCACATACGACCCTGTTCATGTGTGCATGCCCACACATACAGAGTCACACATGTGCACATGTGTGCATGCCCACACGCACAGATTCACACATGTGTGCATGCCCACACGCACAGATTCACACATGTGTGCATGCCCACACGCACAGATGCACACATGTGCGCGCACATAACAAGGCATGCAGACGGATGAGAGGACAGGCTGACAGAGCATGCACAAGCAGGCAGTCACTTCAGCAGATAGAAAATGGTGATGTATGCAAAACGACAAACAGACCCCCTTCCTTTTGCACGCTTGTAGCCCATCCCCTTCACCCATCCCCCTCACCCATCCCCCTCACACATCCCCTTCACCCACTCCCTTCACCCACCCCATTCACCCACCCCCTTCATGCAACCCCCCACCAGTCAGCTATGCGGGTAGCGGAGTGCATGCGGGCAGCACTTGAACCAGGCACTCACAGTGCCAGCCAGCACACACTACGCTACCTGCATGCTGCTCATCATGAGAAGCGAATCCCAGCCTCGCCTGCTGGACCTCGCACTCTGCAAGCTGGGCATGGCGCCCCAAAGGCACCACTCAAAGAGCGACTTTTGAGGCGCCTCAAAAGGCATGGCGCCCCAAAGGCACCACGCAAAGAGCGCAACCAGAACCAATAGAACGTACCAGGCATGAACCCATCACCTTCCATCCCCTAGTGTGCTGCTCGTTAGAATCACGCACCGACGAATGGGGGAGAACCCCCTTTAGCGGGAACGATCTCAACCGCCGCACTGCCATCGTCCAGGTACAACCTCCCCTCCGCAGCACGCCCCTCCGCAGCAGAACCACCTGCGCCAGTAGGCACCTGCCCACCCAGCACAGCAGCGGGGGAGGCAGCATCTGAGCTTCTGAGAACGCCCTGCACCCACACTCGCTGCAGCGCCATGCCGTTCACCTGTGGTGCCATGTCATGCCACGCCATGCCACGCCATGCCATACCATGCCACGCAATGCCATGCCATGCCATGCCATGTCATGCCACGCCACGCCATGCCATGCCATGCCACGCCATGCCATCCCATGCCACGCCATGCCATGTCACACCATGCCATGCCATGCCACGCACGCAGCAGAGACGCAGACAGTGACAGGGATGCAACACGGAGGGGTCAGGTGCTGAGCCGCACCTCCTGTAGCACGCAGCAATGGAGAGAGCAAGGCAGTGAACTCACACTTCCTGTGGTAATAGTTGCTTGGTTACGACTCGTATAAAACCTTATATCTTAAACCTGTGGTAATCATTCCAATCAATTGTGGTCACGTGGCAATGGTGACACGGACATGTGGGTATCCAGAGGGACAGAGGTGAGCGACATGCCACGTGTTTCTCTCCCCACGCGCCTTACATGTGGCACTGCAAACTAAAGTCACTAGCATTGTGCACATTTGCTTTGGATTGGGGGCACAGCACAGCACACATGGTGTGCAGATTTCAATCTAGTGCAAAAGCTCTCTGCTTGTGGTGGTAACTGCAGCGACTGGACATTCGGCAGCGCTCCTGCCGCTTGTTGCGAGTATTTGCCGTTGATAAAAAGCTCGCTGCCACCACAGTCTTACCTTGTCCGTAAGAACGCTGAACTTGATTCACATCAATTAATCGGAAGGACACTGAAATCAGATTACATCGGATAACCGACTGCGACGATGGCTGCCGCCGTTCTCTCGAGGCAACGCCACCATGCCCGTCTCCTTGCCGCCAGACTCTGCGGTAGCCTCCCATCGCCAAATTTGGCCGTAAATTCCGCAACCGATTCCCAAGACGCGTCGCAGCCTGTCACGACGTCAGCGCCATGGCAACGTCCCGCCTCCCTCTCCACCAGCGCAGGTGCGCCGACTCCTGCGGGCGGCGCAAGCCCGAGCGCGCCGAGCCGTGCCGTCCCGCAGATGCCGGCGTTCGACCACGTGCCGGCGCCGTACACGGGGCCGCGCGCGGAGGAGGTGCTGAGGAAGCGAAAGCAGTTCCTCAATCCGACCATCTTCGCCTACTACAAGAAACCGGTGCGCGACCGTCGTGACGTTCGTTCATTGAGTGACTGAATGATTGACTTTTAAGTCGACTCGAAAGCAGTTCCTCAACCCGACCATCTTCGCCTACTACAAGAAACCGGTGCGGTACCGTCGTGAAGCTCGTTCAGTAATATGAATGAATAAATGAATGACTTCTGAGTCGACTCACAAGCAGTTTCCCACTCCTGTCCATCTTTGCGTATTACAAGAAACCGGTAGGGCGCCGCTGCCGCGTATTAGACAGTTTTGGGACGTCTCAAAACACGCCTACAACTAGAACCCGGTTCGGCGCTGCTTCCGCGTACGAGACAAAGGTAGTGGTTTGTAGGCCACCGCCTCGTATTTGTTCGCCCGAAACTTTCTTCACATCGCCACCTCTATTCCCCTGCTGCGCTGCGCCTACTCGCGTTTTTCCACCTTGCCGCAACGCCTTCCCACCCCGTTCTCCGCGTTTGGCGTCTAGCGAAACGAGCTGCGAGGCGGTCACGGGGCACGTGACGATGTGGCATCCCGGCTACGAGGAAGGTGGGAAGTGTTGCGCACACGCCAGGCCAACGACCACCCACTGCCTTTTTTCAAGACGATTTTTCAGCTCCAACAGCACAGCCCCCTTATTCCCTTCCATCTCCCCGCTCCTCGTGTCCCTGTCAGTCAGCCGAACGTGTTGCCAGCACGTGCGCCTCCATTGGAGGGGCGCATGCAGCATTCCCCCGACGAGCACGCTTGCGGACTGTCCATGTTTCGCCACTCCGACCCCCCTTCCCCCTCTCTCCCCGCCCTCCCTCGCTCCCTCCGTTCCCCCTCCTTCGCCCGCACTTCCCCCCCATCTCCCCGCGTCCCCGTGTGCACATCAGGTGCGCGGGGTGAGGGGCGCATGCAGCACCTCGGCCAGCTGCAGGTTGTGTGAAAGCCCCCCCTTCCCCCTCCCCTTCCGCCCCCTTTCCCCGTATTCCCTCCTCCCAACCCTCCCCTCCCCCCCCCATCCCTTCCCGTTGTCGGCTACACGTGGTGGAGGGGCGCATGCAGTACCTCTACCACGCGGAAACAGATGCACAAAGCCAGCCCAAACAGCCCCGCCTCCCCCTTCCTCCCCCCGCGTCCAACCCAACCCCCCATATCCCCGTTCTCGCCGTTCCCCCGTGTCTGCCCCAGCTACACGTGGTGGAGGGGCGCATGCTGCACCGGTACCACCAGGATGGCTCCAGGCTGTCGCTCATAGCCACTCTGAAACCCCTTTCCCCCTCCACCACCCACCCCCCCGTTTCCTTCCTCACCCCGTCCCAACCCCCCCACCCCCCTTCCCCCCCGTCAGCTACACGTGGTGGAGGGGCGCATGCAGTACCTGTACGACGAGGACGGGCGGCGGTATTTGGACGCATTCGCGGGCATAGTGACGGTGTCGGTGGGGCACTGCCACCCGGCGTTCGTGGAGGCGGTGGGGCGGCAGAACGCGCTGCTGCAGCACACCACGAGCATCTACCTCAACCACCAGATCGCTGAATACGCTGAGGAGCTCGCTGCCAAGATGCCCGGTGACCTCAAGGTGCGTGCATGGGCTGCTGGGCTGCTGGGCTGCTGGGCTGCTGGGCTGCTGGGCTGTACTGAACGCACACAGAGCGCAGGACGCAGGGGTGTTGATTGGAGCACCCAGATGTTGCAAGCAGCTGCTGCAGCCTGCAGCGCTGGTAGAGCAACCTAGTGCCGAGATGTCGGGCGGGCTCGGGCTGATGCACTGTTCTAACACTCTCAGAGTCTATGCGTTTCACCATGGGGCGAGCATCCATGGATAACTTGTTGATGCAGGAGATTGGGGAACATGGGGATTGAGTTAAGGCGCTGGGTTACCAGGTAACCCGTTCTGTTAAGCACGGGACTTGGGTGCTGTATTTTCTTGCCTCATCCCTTCGCCTTGCCCGGCGGTTCGTTCACATTCTAAACGCACTGTTGTCCTTACTCTCTTCTTACTCCTCGCCCCTGTCAGAATGTGCACTTTGTGAATTCAGGCTCAGAAGCGAATGACATGGCACTGACCATGGCACGGCTGTTCACATGCAACTGTCTCCCTTCCTTCCTCCTCGTCCCCACTTCCCGTTTCCCCCTCCTCCTCCCGCCCTCTTTCCCCCTTCGCCCTCATCAGAATGTGTACTTTGTGAATTCAGGCTCAGAAGCCAACGACATGGCGCTCACCATGGCACGGCTGTTCACGGGCAACTATGATGTCATCGCTCTGCGCAACGCGTACCACGGCATGTCGCCCGCCACCATGGGCCTCACAGCCCATAGCACGTGGAAGTTCAACGTTCCTCAGGTGCGTGTCTGCAGGGTTTCTGGTTGCGTTGCTGCCCACATGGCGAGTGATTAGTGTGACACGTTATGGCTGGTCACAGGCAGCTGTGACAGTGTGTCTCTGCACACTGCAGCACAGGGGACAGTGCACACACCGCGCCATGTCCCCCCCCCGCCACCATGGAACTCACGGCTCACAGCACGTGCAAGTTCAACGCCCCCCAGGTGCTGCTCACATGTCAAGTGGCTGGAGCGACAACGGTCTTGGCTGGTGAGTCACAGGCAAGAATGACACCGTTGCTGTGCACATGCATGGAGTACCACACGGGAATCCGCACTCCTATCGGGGATCCCTTTGTGCCCCTTCCTCCCCGCCCCCTCGCTTCCAGTGTCCTTCCACTCTGGGCTTTGCCATTCAACGCACTTAACCCTGACTCGTACAGGGGAGTCTTCAATGCTCAGCCCAGAGTGATTTTAAATCTTCCCCCTCTTTATCCTCCCACCCTCCCCTTCCCCTCTCCCCTCCTGTATCCCCTCCCTCGCCAGGGATTTGGTGTCCACCACGCACCCAACTCAGGCCCACACAGGGGCGTGTTCGGTGTTGACGGTGTCGTTCGGGAATCCCTGTCTTTCCTTCAACCACCTTTTCCTTTGCCTCTCCCCTCCTACGTCCCCTCTCATTTTCCCTCATCTGTCCTTCCCCTCTCCGCTCCTGTGTCGCCTCCCCTCGGCAGGGCTTTGGCATTCACCACGCACTCAACCCCGACCCATACAGGGGCGTGTTCGGTGCTGACGCAGCAAAGTACGCTGCTGACGTGGACGACCTTCTCCGCTCGTCCACGTCAGGCCGCGTGGCCGGCTTCATCGCCGAAACCATCCAGGGGGTGGGCGGCACAGTGCCTCTGACACGTGGCTACCTGCCATTGGTGTACGAGTCGATCCGGGCGGCGGGCGGAGTGTGCATAGCGGACGAGGTCCAGACAGGGTTTGGGCGCACAGGGTCGCACTACTGGGGGTTCGAGACACAGGGGGTGACACCAGATATTGTCACCATGGCAAAGGTAAGAGATAAGGGTATCAAGGTGCGTGGATGTGGCGAGGTGCGCATGGGGTTTGGGCACACGAGGTGCAGACGGGGTTTGGGCACACGAGGTGCAGACGGGGTTTGGGCGCACGGGGTCACACTACTGGGGGTTCGAGACACAGGGGGTGACGCCCGACATCGTCACCATGGCTAAGGTATGACTCGATACAAGCAGTGCCTGTTTTCAGGCAATTTTATTTTCCTAACCAATCCAATCCCTGTCTCCCTCCGCGCCCACGCATGGCAGGGCAGAGGCAACGGGCTACCGCTGGCAGCGGTGGTAACCACACCGGAAATTGCAGCAGTGATGGCACAGTGGCTGCACTTCAACACGTTTGAGGGAAACCCCGTGAGCTGCACTGGCGTCTGTGATTGTTCTTTCAGGCGGTGATTGTGATTATCGCTATCTCTACCTCTCTCCGCTCCCACCCACCACAGGGCATAGGCAACGGGTTACCACTGGCAGCGGTGGTAACCACGCCGGAGATCGCAGCAGTGATGGCGCAGCGGCTGCACTTCAACACGTTTGGGGGCAACCCCGTGAGCTGCGCTGGCGGGCGGGCGGTTTTGAGGATCATAGAGGAGGAGGCGCTGCAGGGCAACTGCGCTCATGTGGGGGGGTACCTGCTAGGGAAACTTCAAGCACTTAAGGAGAAACACGAGGGTGAGGTGGCTGGGTGGGTGAGTAAGTATGAGGGTGTGAGGGGGCAAGTGAGTACGGGACACCTGGGTCCTAGGCCCTAGGGGTTGACACGAGGGTCACATGGTAGGGAGGGACGGCGGAAACCCTCCTGTGAGCTGCGCTGGCGGGCGGGCTGTGCTGAGAATCATTGAGGAGGAGGCGCTGCAGGGGAACTGCTCGCACGTGGGGGGTTTCCTGATGGGGAAGCTGCAAGGGCTCAAGGAGAAACACGAGGGTGAGGTGGCTGGGTGGGTGGGTGAATGAGTGGGTTAGTGAAGGTAAGAGGGAGCAAGTGAGTGCAGGACACGTGTGGGTTGAGTGGAAGGGCACATGCAAGGGAAGTGCAGGGTTGGCGGTGCGTGATAGTGAAGCTAGAGAGGCTCAAGTAGTAACATGGGAGTGAAGGGTGGCTTTGTTGGTGCGTGAGCGATTGATGTGTGAGGGTGTAAGGGAGCATGAGACAGTGAGTGAGTGCGAGGCACCAAGGGGTTAACTCGAAGGTCATGCATTTGTGACGTTTGGGACAACCTGGTCAGGTCAGCTGCACTGGTTGTGGGGTGCAGTGCTGGTGGCAGGTGTGACATGGGATGTGTGTGATTCCTGAAGGGTTAAGGCGAACCATAAAGATGACTTGCAGGGTGAGCGAGGGGTGCTTGTGAGTCAAATCAACCGTCAGTTTCCGGTCACCCGATGCATAGGTCGCTGGAAGAGAGACAAGAATGAAGCACAACGGCTGAGAGGGGTGCGTGGGTGTACTGCTTCGAGTGAAGATGGTGCCAGGCAGGGCGAGCAGGACTCGTGCGTGGCTTCATCTCTCCATCTCCTCCCGTGCATTCAATCCTTCCAGCATTGCCGACTCAACACTCCATTTCGTTGAACCGCGTGTCTACCAGTGTAGGATACGTGAGGGGAGCAGGCCTTGGTGTGCTGCGAGTGAGCTCGTAACAACCTAACCCCTGCCTGCCTTGCCTTTCGTCTCCCTGGACCTCACCGCCGCTTTCGAATGTTCCTTTAGTGAATAGCACAGTCAATACAGCACAGTAGTACGGCAAGCACAGGCAAGCACAGGCAAGCACAGGCAAGCACGGCATAGTCGTAAAGCAACTCTCAGGCTCAAGCACATGCAGAAGATCGCCAGCGCCTAGAGGCTCATACAGGTAGGCTGACAGGTAGGCTGACAGGGGCTGACAGGTAGACTGACAGGTAGGTTGACAGGGGCTGACAGGTAGTCTGACAGGGGCTGACAGGTAGGCTGACAGGGGCTGACAGGTAGGCTGACAGGGGCTGACAAGGGCTGACAGGTAGGCTGACAGGGGCTGACAGGTAGGCTGACAGGTGGGCTGACAGCGGCGCCACTTGAAAGGGCCGCCTCTGTCTCTCCCCTCCCTCAGCCGCCTTGCTTGCTCCAACTCCACCGAACAGTGATTAACGATGTGAGCGGCGCGGGGCTTATGCTGGGAATGGAGCTGGTCACAAGCTAACCCCTGTCTTGCTTTCCTTCTCCCCCCTCTCCCCCCTCTTCCCCCTCTCCCCCCCTCCCCCACCCCAACCCCGCTCGCACCATACCATGCCACAGTGATTGGGGACGTGAGAGGCGCAGGGCTCATGCTGGGGGTGGAGCTGGTGACAGACAGGGAGGCTAAAACTCCCGCCAAGGCAGAGACGCTGCAGGCATTTGAGCGCCTTAAAGGTTGGTGCTTTTCGAAGCATGTTTATGGTAGGTTTTGGGGGGCGCTCTGTTGCAAGGCGGTGATGGGCGAGTGAGATGTTGACATCTGGCATTAGTGGGTAGAAGGTAGATAGTAGGTGATAGCACAAATATGCTCTTCTTGTATTTCAGGCTGTTTATAAGGGATGCCGCGCGGTTGGTCTAAAATGCCTGTGTGCGCCCCTGTGTTGCTGGGCATGGCTGGTGGGCATGGCTGGTGGGCATGGCTGGTGGGCAGGGGAGGATACTCTTTGTGGGCTTAGGTGGTCTACTGCTGCTCTGCCAGGAAATATTTCGCTGCCCCATGCTCCCTGTGGCCTTTGTATCCACCTGCCTTGTCCCATGCGTGGCAGATCTAGGAGTGCTGGTGGGCAAGGGAGGGCACTATGGGAATGTGTTTCGCATCAAGCCACCCATGTGCTTCACCACGGCCGATGCTGGTACGCCCCTGATGAAAACATGCACCTAATGCACGCATGCACCTGATGGGGGGAGGGTGTGATGGCAGGTGGGGAGTGAGATGGCAGGGAGAGAGTGTGATGGCAGGTGGGGAGTGTGATGGGAGATGGCAAGGGGTTAGATGGATTGCAGGGGACGAGCGTGATTGCAGGGGAAGAGCACATGGAGCATGTCCCACTCTCTATTATCACCCACGTATTGCATCAGGCGTTTCACAAGGGATCAATCTGCTTCCAGTAGACACCCCTTTCCTTGCACGACTTGTTTGAATCGTTTCTTGAGTTAAAAGTATCTGTTCTCCCTGCTCCCCAACCTCTCAGACTTCCTCGTTGACTGTATGGACGTGGCGTTCTCAGAGCTTTAGGGAAACGGTGCTGCCTCCCCCAGCATGCAGCTGCCACTTGCTCACTCATTATCCTGCTCAGCATGTTATTTCTTTACTCATGAAGACACAGAGTTTGGTGTATGCGATACGTTCATTCACTGTACAAAGTGTTACTCAAGATTACTGTACTAATCAACCGGAAAGATGCTCCTAGGGGCTCATACACATGACATGAGTCTCCAGAGTAGGTACAACATCTTGCAGAGCACCGAATACAACATACCGGTACCCGTACCTATCGAGCGCTTTTCCCGCTTTTAACATAACTATTTGGACCGTCTTCACACAGGGTACACGAGGCCGTATGGTCCCGGACAGAGCATCAGGTTGGTTTTGGTTTGGTTTGGGCTCCCACGAGTCACAACCCACCCACCACAAGCACATGATGCTGACTGAGAAACGGAAGAAGGCCTACTTGAATCTGGTGCGGTGCGGCTGTGGATCACAATGGCTGTACTCCCGCTTAGCACTGTTGAGTGCGCATGGGGGTTCAGCCATCGGGTCAGATAAAGAAGAGATCTTCCAGGGGTGGACTAAAGGCAACCTCCCACCTACCGTAAGTGATGATGATTGGGGCAGTGGTGATATGCGCGCCACTGTTTCATGGACTCCAAATTAGAATAACATACTGATGTTGTGCGATTCTTTTTCACCTTTACAAATGCAAAGACGTCACTTTCTGCTTCATCTAACAGTCAAATAAATACTGATCCTCAAGAAACCAGATCTGGCCCTGAACAAGAACCTGTGTTCCTCTTGCCACTCCCTGCCCGAATAATATTCTCTGTCAGAGATTGAGTCAACCTGTGCAACTGGACTCTGGTCAACCCACCTGCTCATTTGACCCATTAGCCACATCCCAAGTCTTCATCCTTCCATTCGTCTGCTCCTTCACGGGCGGCACAGCACCGGCCAGCGTAGTACTAGGGAGCACATCATTGGGTGGCAAGCTCCTGGCATGTAACCAGTCACAGACGTCGCGAACCACCCTGGCAACAACGTGATCCGGCTCTCCACAGGTGAGTGCGTGCCAGCAGCCCTCATACACCTTCATTTCCTTGTCTGTGCTGCGCGCTCGAATGAAGAGGTCGTGAACGGCCGCTATGTCTACAACCCTATCTTCCGTTCCTTGCAGTATCAGTAGGGGTACCGTTACCTGATTGCCACAAGGAGAAACGGAGGTGAGTTGGATTAGCGCAAAAACCATAACAAGCAGGCAGGAAGGCAGGAAGGGCAGGCAAGCGGTCAGGCGGATAGGCAGGCTTGGAGGCGGGCAGGCAGGCACACACACATATGCAGGCATGCGCGCACACACACACACACACACACACACACACACACGCACGCACACACACACATACATGCAGGCATGCATACATGCATGCAACCCCCCCCCCCCCCCCGCCCCCCCCAACCCCCCCTCCACCCCCACCACACACACACACACACACGAAATTGCAGAGCATGTGTCACCTCTTCCATGTGTGCGCAGATGTCCAGGGTGGTCCTGTAGAGCTGCAATGCCGTGCCCAGTCGAGGCCAGTCGTGATATGCGAAAGGGTGACTGTTGGCCCTCTCTCTCTTCTCAGCCACCTGCCAGGTGGGGCATCGACACACGCACACACGCGCACACGCACACATGCACACATGCACACATGCACACAGGCACTCACGCACACATGTACACATGCACTCACACACACGTGCACAGCACACAAGCACACATGCACACGTGCACTCATGCACACATGCACACATGCACTCATGCACACATGCACACAGGCACTCACGCACACATGTACACATGCACTCACACACACGTGCACAGCACACAAGCACACATGCACACGTGCACTCATGCACACATGCACACATCCACTCGTGCTCGAGATGACCAAAGCAATCGTGACAAAAATCAATCACCTTCAAACTTGAGATTCGTGCCTAATCGGAACACCTTAGCAGTTTCACCTGAAATAATACAAGTCCGGTTTTCACCTGAAAGGAATTGCCGGGGTTGGCACTGATTGGCAGGAGCTTCCAGGTAGGTAAGATGCGTGCGAGACAGGTGAAAATGAAGATCATTATTCCAGGGAGGGTGAGCTCCTTGGACATCTGGGAGGGTGAGTGGGGTGGTGGGCGGGGGAAGAGGGGGGAGCAATGGGTAAGAACGGAAGAAGGGTAAGGGGTGGAAAGAGAGATATGAGGAAGGGACACCTTAGGCGAGACCAAGAGGGATAGAGAGGAGAGACGGATGAACTGCAGTACTCCATGGGGCTTCACCATTGAGCACTTCACTTAGAACAACACTACTGCACCGCACTGCGAACAGCACTACTGCATCGCAATTTACCCCCTGAACCCCACACAAGCATCTACTAATCTTACACAGTCTACCAATCTCATACGTGAGCACTGCTTTATTCCAAGGAGTCAGGACTCTGAAGGCCATGACATGTGAATGACCACCCCATCCATGAGATCTCTGTTCCGCCTTACACTGCACATAGAATAACCTTACACATGGGTGCAACCACGATTGCACCGTTCCAAAGGCTGGCGTCTCTTCGTGCAACTTGAATGGCCACAGCACCTCCCATGGACTCGCCATAGACAAAGAAGGGCAGATGGGCGAACCTAGGTTTTGCTGCGGGTGAGAACGGAGGGGTGCAGGAACAAAGAACAGTTCTTGCAATCAAGGAGGGTGAGGAAGAACAGGGAGAAATAGTATTGGCAGGGTCCAGGGAATGTTGCCCCTCCCCCCTCCCCCCCTTCCCCTCCCCTCTCCCCCCCCCCCAAAAAAAGGGTACAAACAATCTGGTTCCTTTTTGGAAAGAAAACTGCAAAACTACCCACCTAGCCTCCACTGTCACACTAACCTCACTTACTCACCTCCCTTACCACACTCACATCTCTTCACGGTCCACACTTTGCAGAGTCATCCAACCATCGCGTGTCTTCTTCGGTTGGCAAACGCTTCGTTCCTTCAACTCATCCATTCCAACCCGTTAACAAGCAAGTCCTGTTCCCTGCCACGCTGAACCACTTCCCTCAGCTTTGGATCACTCACCCATTCCAACCCATTGGCAAGCGCACCCACCTTTAGCGCGGCGGGCAACTTCAACGACGTCATCCACAAGGCACGAGAAGCTGTGGATGTACCCGTGGCGGCCACCTGACAGCCCATGGCCCTCATAGTCCACGCCAACCAGGGCATAGCCTGCGCCTGCAAGCTTCACCGCCACGTCTGAAAGGAAGGAGGAGGGGAGGAGAGGGAGAGGGGAAGGCAGGGGGGGGATTGAGAGAGAGGCAAGAGTGGTTGTTTTCTTTCTCCGTTTCGTTCTTTCTTTGAACCCTCAGAAAAGTTATGGCACATACATTCGAATGCGCTTGCTCGCTTCAACCAGTCTCAAAGATCAGAATACCTCTGAAGGCATTCCCCAGGAGTACCTCAACGTGCCTTCCGACTATACAACACAGCTACAAGTTACTTCTAGAATATTCACAGCTGACCTATAAACGAGCTATAGGACCACCTTTTGACGAGTAAGGCGTCCTTGGTAGCATTGAAGATGCATTTATATCCATGGCACACGAACACACACGCAGTTCGAATGGTGACGAACCTAACCCCATGTGAAGCAAGTCCTTTTCCCCATGACTCATGCTTCATGACAGATGCCACATGCGACATACACATACCTCTCCAAATATGTAGGTGCAGGTCTCCGCATAACCACGGCAAACCAGCACACCCCCTCCCAAGGTGCAAAAAAACGACCGAAAGATTGAAATTCTGGCGTATAATACGCTATCGTATTTTTCGGCCGTTTAAAACGTTTTAAAACGCCAAAAAGTGGTAATTCTAATGTGGTGCAAAAAAACGGCCGTTTTTTACACCAGAAATCTTGTAACCAGCTGGTTTACACATATTTTCAAGTATTGGTTCCAACCATGAACCCTCGATCGGATGAACCAGCCATGAGGAAGACAAAGGGGATTTATCAGTGGGACTGTAGTAGAACGGTGACTCCAGGGAGGAGAGGATGAAGAGTCTGGGGGGAGGAGGAGGAGGGTTGAACGAGCGCAACCTAGACACTTTGTAAGCATTGTATTGCTTCTTTGCTATCCTGCTCAGGAGCAGAGTCGTGTGTACTGTCTTAAAAAAAAAAAAAAAAGTCACAAAATCTCTAACAAAAAAACGGCCGAATTTTTTAAATCTGACCGTAAAATACGAGCGTAAAAAACGGACCGTATTTTACGTTTGCCGAAATTTTGCATCTTGCCCCCTCCCAAGGGTTCGCCTATATGCGCCCAAGCAACCAAACCCATACCCTTTTATCACCTTCAAATATGTAGGTGCAGGTCTCCCCATAGCCATGGCAGCCCACCACCACTCCCCTGAACCGCCCGTCACTGGGGAGCCATTCCTTGGTGAAGAGAACCACCCCCCGCGTGTTGATTATGTACTCCTCAGCCGAGGTCACCCCATGTGACGCCTGGGACGAGGGGTGAGCGGAGAAACAGTCCATCAACTCGTTTCCAACAGGTCTATGCATGGCCCTGGAGAGCATCAAAGCCAAGCCACGTCATGAGGAGCGGCGTTGTCCTTTATAGGGGGGATGACGAGAAAGGAAGGAAGGAGGGGAGGAGGAATGGAATTGAGAAAGTAAGTCTTGACACTTGACCTAGCTTGCACCCTAGATTGACTCAATAGTTGAATGTAAACTTACACATGGACAGTATGAGTATACCAGCCGTACAATGGGTGCATGATTACGAACGGAGGAACTACAAACAAGAATGCACTTTGTGCCATTCTGGTTTAGGGTCGGTGTAGCTCCAGAATTTGAAGTGCTGGTTCCAGGAAAGCCCGTTTTTTTTTGTACGGGCCGAATCGGCCCATACGCACGGTTGCTTTGAGGCCAGCATAAATGCCCAGGCGGCATCCCTGAGAGACTACTAGGCAAACCCCTCTCCCACCGCTTCCACACCCCCCCACCCCCCCCCCCCCACCAACCAGCCCCCCCCAGCCCCCCCTCCCCCCTCCCCCTCCCCCCCCACCCCTTCCTCTCTTTCCCACTGCTTTCCGTCAACTGACCCTTGTCTTCCAGCGTCGCAAAAGGTGTCGCCCCAGCTGAAGAAACGACCTTCTTCCCTCTGAGCCGCTGATAGGATATCAAGAGCGCATTCCACTCACGATATCAGGAGGCATTGATGTTGGAGTCCAAATCGGGCTCTTGACTTAGTTGGTCTATAATTGGTTGCAAGTACCAGTGCAGAAGTAACAAGCTCAGAGTTCCTGAAACGACGTGTGAGCTTTGTCAGCTGCCGCCTAGAGCTCAGGCTGAACATGACTGACGTACCTACAATGAGAGGGATGTGTAAGGTTGCCGTGCATTCACAGTCACTTATAAAACATTCTTAGAACTCACGTAGAACGAGGGAGCCCTCTTATGCGGCTGCCGTGCTTTCCTCCTAGCGCCCTCCCATTCAAGGCTCGGCGCCTTTCTCGGAAGCGCGAGACGTTTAGCTACGTAAATTATGGCTCCTCCAAGAATAGCGGGAAACGCGGGGCCCCACATCATCGCCGAGTACGAAGGTTCTGCTGCCCAGGCGATAATCCGATCGCCAGGGCCCTGGGTTCAATTGAAATGTCTCAAAAAATGTTCTTCGCGCTACTAGAAGACATCGACGCCGATGATCGCCGGTCCCTCCATCTGATCGGTGGTGGGAGACTGGGCCGGCTGGAGCCCGACGCGCGACCCGTCATGGGTCCACCCCGACCACACCACATCCCGCTTTGCGACCATTTGCAAAAAAACAGTAAACACAAAAAAATCAGGCAGGGGAACGAACCGGTTCCGCTCTTTTCGTGTAAAACCGACTGAACTTGTCCGTTTGTTCAGCTGGTGTTATCTTGGCCCTGGCCCTGTTCGATAGCGAACGGAATGGGACGGGATGGGGCAGGGAACGGGATGGTTTAGGCGGGAAACTAGGCTCGTCTGGGGAAAATCGCAGAGCGACGTCATAGCCTAACGGAACAAGAACGGGGTGCGTTTCATCCCGAACCTGACACAACTAGAAAATGAAAAACAGTTACCCATCTCAACCTAGAAGTTGAAAAATAGATGGATAACTCCTGCGTACAGGACCAACGGTTCATCTGCACCGGCGGAATGATCCTCGGTTTCATCTCCTTAGGTGCCTCAGGTTCGGGATGAAACGCAACGAACCATTCCTTCCCGAACCCGTTCAGTTAGGCTATCGAAGAAAGGTCTGTACAGTAAATTCTGTACGCTGTGGTGTTGCGAGGGTATGCCGCGTGGTGCAAGCGCCACCAGTGTCCTCCTCACGTGGCCCGGCGACGGTGAGGGCATCAGGCCGTCGCGCTCCCCTGCCGCGATGGTGTGGAATCTCCGCCCTAGGTTCGGCTGGGTGGGGGGAATCCACACAGTGAGAACGACATCGCCCGATTCACTCCGCCGTCGTCAGTGCCAGCCTCGCGTAGTCAGGGCGACGACGGCAAGGGAATCGGGCCGTCTCCCGTCCCTGCCGCAGTGATCGAAGAGGGCCGATGATGAGTCTCCTACCGCCCCGAGCCATCTAAACTGTACGTTGTCTTGAGCGAAATCAGGTTCGGACGCGACTGTTCTGCTTGCGGCATGGCTGAGGGGTTCTGTCCCGAGTTCCGACGCGACGCCGAGGCTTGCAAGGCTTCGCCAACGCCCCCCAACAGTAGTTTTAGAAGGGTACTCCCAAAGAAACGGCGAAATATGTTCTCTCGTTTGCGCGGACGGTCTGAAATCGGTGCTTGGACGCTGCGATTTATCAGAAGACAGTAACCACGTCAGTTTCCGACAGAATTTGGGACTCTTAGTGGTCGTTACTAGCATGAGCTCCAGTATAACTGATTCTTTCCACGAAAACAGAATGAATGCACTCTGGTGACGTCTATTTCTTCACCATGGCGGCAGCTAGCGCACAAACGTCGTATTTTCAGAAGGTATCGTCGCACAAACGCTTGGCAGGCGTCCACTTCATCGACAAGAACATAGTAGCGTTTACCGGCAAGAACTCCCAGCAGCCGCCTTGTTGCAAGAGAGAAGCGCCACGTTTTGATCGTCATGATGCGTTTGTACGTGGCGGCATAAGCTGGCGGCCTCAGGAAGGTAGGAGCAGAGCCTCTCCTGCCTTCAAGAATAATGATGGAGGCGATGCTGCACCTTCTGGCTGTGCTGCGGGCGGCGCGGCCGCCAGCACCATGACGACTATGGGAGGACCGGCAGTTTCTGAGGCAGTCATCGTGGGTGGAGGGTTGGCCGGTCTCGCACTGGCTATTGGCCTCCGGAACATTGGGATTGACGCCCAGGTGCTATGCTACCTGAAATCACTGAACTTGCCGTGAACCACTTTGAAATGTCCTTTTGATTGTTCGAACATGGTAGTACCTGAAACGAACACGACGCAGCTCATTTCACGTTTTGAGACATCTCGAAGAATCACTCACTTCACGCAACATGCGGCTTTTTCAACGTGTCAATGTCCATGTTGTTTTGTTTTTTTTTTTTTTTTCTCTCCTTTCTTTCTGTATCATACTAACGTGCAGGTATACGAGGCGCGTGATTACATATCCGGCGGGGAGGGAACCGGCATAACTCTTTACCCCAACGGCCTCAGAGCACTCAACAGAATCGACCCGGGCATCTTGTCGCAGGCATGGCCGCGTGTCATCTATGACATGATTCTTGACACCCTCCTGACAGTCTCCCTTCTTGGATTTCGAATTTTGCCTCCTCAAGCACTGTTGGTTGCTTCCGATCCATTCCCCTTTCCTCATTCACCCATACCCCGATTCCCCCCTTCCACTTCCCCTATTCTCCCATTCCCCTCTTCCTCCAGCTATGTTCCCGTGGAGTCCCAGATCCCACATGCCTCTTCCTCACCCCGTTCGGCCATTGTCTGTCCCGCTGGGACCTGTCGACCAACATGACAGCTCGGTACGGCTTCCCCATGCTGGCGATCGGCTGGCGAGAGGTGCAAGATGTGCTCTTCCGAATGGTGCCAAAAGACGCCATCCACACCGGCCACAGGCTTGTTGCGATATCACAGAACGAGGAGGCGGAGGGGGGAAGCAGGGGAGATGGCACGGTGAAGTGCGTTTTCCGAAAGGTTTCAGGTGGCAAGGAGTGCCTGCTGGAGGTGGAGGTGAGTGGAGAGATGGGAGCATTGAAGGTGGGTGTGTGGGGGAGTGAAGTGGGGGGAGGAGGGAGGGTGTGCGGGTGAAAGTTCGGATGGAGTGTGGGGGGAGGGAGGGAGGGGGGAGGTGGTGGCAGGTGGTGGTTAAGGGTGGGGTAGTGGCCGGATTGTGTGGCAGATTGTGGCTAGTGGGTGATGATTTTGACAACTGTTTGTGCTCTCTAACTGTGTGAATGCTTTCTTCCATTCTCCATTCCATCCCCCCACATGGATCCCCCTCATTGACCCAGCCCTCGCCGTGACTGCTGTGCACTACCTCTCCTTGCTTGCTCACCCTTTACCTCTCCTTGCTTGCTCACCCTTTACCTCTCCTTGCTTGCTCACCCTTTACCTCTCCTTGCTTGCTCACCCTTTACCTCTCCTTGCTCACCGTTTACCTCTCCTTGCTCACCCTTTACCTCTCCTTGCTCACCCTTTACCTCTCCTTGCTCACCCTTTACCTCTCCTTGCTCACCCTTTACCTCTCCTTGCTCACCCTTTACCTCTCCTTGCTCACCCTTTACCTCTCCTTGCTCACCCTTTACCTCTCCTTGCTCACCCTTTACCTCTCCTTGCTCACCCTTTACCTCTCCTTGCTCACCGTTTACCTCTCCTTGCTCACCCTTTACCTCTCCTTGCTCACCCTTTACCTCTCCTTGCTCACCCTTTACCTCTCCTTGCTCACCCTTTACCTCTCCTTGCTCACCCTTTACCTCTCCTTGCTCACCCTTTACCTCTCCTTGCTCACCCTTTACCTCTCCTTGCTCACCCTTTACCTCTCCTTGCTCACCCTTTACCTCTCCTTGCTCACCCTTTACCTCTCCTTGCTCACCCTTTACCTCTCCTTGCTCACCCTTTACCTCTCCTTGCTCACCCTTTTCCTCTCCTTGCTCACCCTTTACCTCTCCTTGCTCACCCTTACCTCTCCTTGCTCACCCTTTACCTCACCTTGCTCACCCGTTACCTTTCCTTGCTCTAACCCCCACCCACCAGACCCCTCTTCTTTTGGGAGCAGACGGCATTTTCTCCGAAACTAGAAAGCATTTGCTGGGGGAGGGAGTGGAGCCTCGAGACAATAGGCGAACTATCTGGAGGGCCATCATCGACAGCAGCGCCGCCTCCCACCCTGTATGTGACTCGCTCTCTCAGTATTTTTGCTCCTCCATTCCTGAGCATCGATCGCGCCCCCACCACTTCAAACGTCTAGCGCCCCCCTCTCCCCACGCCTTGAATCGTTTAGCCAGTTATTCTCGTTGTTGTCCCTTCTATTTTCCCTTCGTGCTGCTTTAGCCTCCTCGCACATATTTTCCTTCCATAATCGTATCTCAATACCCTCACCCTTTGCCTCCCACTGTGCCACCACCGTCACATTCCCATTAACCTCACATCCCCACTACCCCATTCTCGCTTGCTCCGCTCCCTCTTTACCTTGTGCAGATATCTGCAGTAATTATCATACCGTATGCCTACCTCACTCATGTTTATTTTTTTCTTCTCCTTCCTTCCATGCCTCCCCTCCCATGCCTCGCCTCCCCTCCTTCCAAACCTCCCATCCTTCCATGCCTCCCCTCCTTCCGTGCCTCCCCTCTTGCAGCTACTGCAGCCACGGCAAGGTTTGACCATACTGGCCGGCGACCGTTCAGGATTCATCATGCACGGTCATGCCAACAAGCTCTACTGGGGGCTCATGCTCGCTGACGGGGCCGATCCAACGGTCAGCAGCAGCCGATCCAGTTGTGGGGAGGAGGCGAAAGAGAAGATCCTGCGAGCACTGAAGGGGTGGGATGTGCTGCCGCGTATTGTGGAAGCCACTCCACCGGAGTGCATTGTAGAACGCCGGATACTTGACATGCCATCCCTGCCCTTCTGGATCAAAGGGAGGACTGCACTGCTGGGAGGTAAGGCTGGGATGCCTATGCCTGAGGAATTGAATCCGACCGTTAACCTATACAAAGTTCAAATTGAATCCACTTTGCTGACGCTTCCACATCCCTAAGTACTTGAATCAAACTTGTTTAGGCTGTTAACATTTACAAAGTTCAAACTGGATCCACAGTGCTGTCGCCTCCACATTCCTAAAAAATTATCTGTTTTCCTTTCCTTTGGATGCAGTGCCAAGTGCCTAAACTCTGTTTGTTCTTGATTACTTGTGTATTCCTCTTCCGTGTTCCATGTTTTTCTCCATGCCTTTCCAGATGCGGCGCATGCAGTAACGCCAGAACTGGGTCATGGGGCGAACTTGGCGTTTGAAGATGCAGCACAGATGGTTGAATGCATCCGCGCTCACTCAGATGTCAGGTGGGTATTGGTGCATTTTACTTGGGCTGTATTGCATGCCATTTGGGCTTTATTGCACACCAGGTGGGTTTCATGCCAGGTGGAATTTAATGTGTGACAGATTATGCATGCCTCATTGCTTCGATGTCTCACCATGTTCATTTCTCCGTACACTTTTTTCGCATGCTCGTTGTGAAATGCCTGCTCTCTGCTAATGCCCAATTGAAGAATCACCAGCATCAATTCCCTCTTGCCATTAATTTTCAGGTGTGCACTGGAAAGCTTTCAGTCCCTTAGGATGCCACGCCTGCATGCTATGGCAGCAAAGAACGATGCGCTGGTGAAAGCATTGTATTTGGATACACAAGCAGACAACGTGAACGGAAGCAGTCAGAGAACTCGATCAGGTGTTGCACCAGTAATCAGGGGAGCGATAACTACATTGCTGGCGGCGGTGACAGAGAGGCGTGATACGTTTGATTCCCTCTATGCGCATGACACAGTTGAAGTGGAGGATCACGTCACACATACCAATATTGTGGGGTGCCTGGATTTTCTCGTACTTGATGAAGTTGGCCGTAGCTGAGGCCAGCCAACCTACTTTCAACCCTGGGTTAGCATATGCAGACCTGAATGCGGATATTCTATACCATATTTATGAGCACCTTTCCTGTTCACACTGGTGTCTAAAATGCCGCGCCGTGCCGTGCCTACCCGTGCGCTGCCCCGCACGCCACGCCCCGCGCGCCACGCCTGCCCCGCGCGCCACGCCTGCCCGCGCGCACTGCCCTGACGCGCCTGCTCCGCGCGCTGCCTCTGCTTGCGCGCTCTCCCCTCGCTGCCCCGCGCGCGCTGCAGCGCCGCCGCTCGCGCTGCCGCCAGCACCTGCCCGCCGCTGCCCTGCCCTGCAGCGCGCCCGATCTGCCCACGCTGCAGCCTGCCGCCCGCACTGCAGCCTGGCCACCCGCACTGCAGCCCTCGCTGCCTCACGCTGTAGGCCGCCCTGCCCCTGCTGCTACACGCCGAGCCGCCCTGCAGAACATAGCCGCCCTGCCGAGCCGCCCTTACCGAGCCGCCCTGCCGAGCCGCCCTGCCGAGCCGCCCCGCCGAGCCGCCCTACCGAGCCGCCCTACCGAGCAGCCCTGCATACCCGTGCAGCCCGGACCTAGCACTACCCCTTGTTCCTAGTACTGCCTTCTTTGTCTCTATCGCTAGGCCGCGCTGCTCACTATGGCGACACCCACCGTTCTGGAGTTTGACGCCGAGGGTAGCCCGATCGATTACGAGTCCTGTCTCGAGGGGCTTCACCTGTACCTGCTTAGCGTTACTAGGGACGACGTTTCTCTGTTTGAGCACACCTCAGGCTCCCTTCCGGCCCCGCTCACTCCGAAAGTGCCTGCCCCTACCAGCAGACGCACAACATAAGTATAAGACTGACCGCGTCGCAAGTACTCAGTGGTTAGCACGCGACGCCACAACCCAGCTTGCAGTCCGCAACCACCTCCCGCCCGACCAGAGGACCCACTCTCGCCAGCTGAAAACGGCCAAAGCGCTCTATGACGCCGTAGTGAATCGCTACTCATCCCCCTACTGAGCCGCCCTAGGTCGCCTGCTGCTGCCATACCTCTTTCCTGAGCTGTCCAACTTCTCCACTGTCGCTGACCTCATGACCCACCTGCGTGCCAGTGACACTCGCTACCATGCTGCTCTCAAGCCACACTTTCTGGCAAAGAACCCCCCCCCCCCCCCGATGTACATCACTCTCTACTTCCTAGTGACCCGTCTCCTGGACTACCTTCGCCCCGTCCGCGACCACTTTCTCGCCCTAGACCCCAACGAGCTCACCTCGTTTGAGTCCCGTCTCCTCGAGGCTGAGACCAGTGCCTACGCCGTAGCTGTCTCCTGTGGCACTCCCCGCCCATCCTTTTTTTAGGGGTGCTCCCCTTCCCTCCTCGCGCCGTCTGTCGCCTCTGATGCTGCTGTTGACTTCCTCGGTGCTGAGGAGGCCGGTGCGGCGTCCGCTCCAGAAGGTTAAGTGTGGTGGCGGTGGCGGTGGCGGGGGCGGTGGAGGTGGCAGTGGAGGTGGAGGTGGCGGGGGCGGTGGACATGGCGGGGGTAGTGGAGGCACTGGGGGTGGCAGAGGGGGCTCGGGTGGTGGTTGAGGTGGAGCTAGCGGTGGTGGAGGCCAGGGAGCTGCGTCTGGGGGTGCAGCTGGTGGAGGCGGCGGTTCTGGGGGTGGGCAGCAGCAGTAGTCGCGCCGGCAGGAGACTCTCTCGCCACAGCAGCTTCGTGAGTGGGTTGCCCAGCGAGGTGGAGGGGGTAGTGGTGGAGCTCGCTGCCAGTACCGCCGGCGCACGGTCTGCGGCCGGGAGGGGCACACTGAGGCGCGCTGCTTCTTCCGCCTCGACGACGCGTGGCGCGAGGATTTTGGTGAGCTGAAGAAGCCTGACTGGTTAGGATTGCTCAAGAGGAACGTAGACGTGTTTGCTCTTGATTGGGACCAGATATGTGCTGGCATGTATGCTATGTATTCTGCTGGTGTTAGTGCTGAGGGTGACTACCATTCTTGAGTACCTAGCTCTGCTAGTGTAGAGGCTGCCAGTCTAGGTGCTTGTGAGTCTGCTAGCACAGGTGCAGTTCCTGCGGAGGCTTTGCACAGATTCACGCTGGACTCAGGTGCGTCTCGCTGCTTCTTCCGCGACTGCACCATAGTCACACCACTCACAGCACCTGTCCTTGTCACTTTGGCCAGCTCCTTGTCTGGCCCAGTCATTGCACGCGGCACCACTGTTCTCCCGTGTCCTGCAACCCACTCTGGCTCCCTCACATGTTTCCACCTCCCCTCGTTCGCTACGAACTTGGTGATTCAGGCCGTCCTCCAGGACCATTTGGTCACTACCACTACTCCTAGAGGCGAGCTCGTGGCGATCTGTACAGATTTGGTGACTGCGACCACCTCGCCACATTCACCCGAAGGCCTGGGTCTCAGCTGTACAGACTGCACACTGAGTCTGCACACAGGTAGCTGCGTCAGGTCAGGTAGCTGCGTCGTGCTCGTGTCGGTTGCTCACGCACCCATCTCTCCTCTGGCACCACCGTCTTGGTCACCCCTCCCTGCAGCGTCTGCTTCGCATGCACCCCCGTCTTCTTGTCTGTGGCCTTCCGAGGTCCCTGCCCCCGTCCCTACTGTCGCTTGCGCCGCCGTGTACTCCCTGCGTCAAGGGGCGGCAGCGCGCCGCTCCTCACTCCTCCTCGTTCCCTCCGACCACTGCTCCTCTGCAGACCCTGCACATGGACGTGTGGGGCTCCGCTCCCGTTGCTGGACAGGGCCGGGAGCGCTACTTCCTGCTGGTCGTCGACGACTACACGCGCTACACCATGGTGTTTCACTTGCGGAGCAAGGGCAACGTCCGTGTTGTTCTGATCCCTTGGATCCGCGCTGCTCGTCGCTAGCTAAGCGCACGGTTCAGTCAAAACCACCCGGTACTTCGTCTGCACTCTGACAGTGGAGGTGAGTTTTCCTCGGGTCTCCTTGAGGACTTTTGTCGTGAGGAGGGCATCGCCCAGTTGTTCACGCTTCCGGCCTCCCCACAGCAGAACGGGATCGCTGAGCGCCGCATTGGCTAAAACTGGAGGTTGCTCGCACCTCCATGATCCATGCGGCTGCTCCCCAATTTCTGTGGCCGTTTGCGGTCGGATACGCCACGCATCAACTCAACATCGGGCCCCGTGTCTCCGAGCCAGAGACCTCGCCCACACTGCGTTGGACGGGGAAGGATGGTGATGCGCCAGCGTTTCGGGTCTCGGGTTCGCTTGCCCTTGTCCGCGATACTACCGCGGGCAAGCTCTCTTCTCGCACTGTTCGTTGCGTCTTCTTTGGCTCTCCTACCGACGCGTCTGGCTGGAAGTTTTACCACCCAGCCACACGTCGCGTCCTGTCCTCCCAGGAAGTCATCTTTGACGAGTCGGTCTGCTTCTACGATCTCTTCCCGCACGCGTCTTCTCCTGTCCCCCCGCCGCCCCTCTTCCTGGTTCCATGTCCCCCCCCCCCGGTAGACCCCCACCCCCCCCTCGCGTCATGCTACCTCAGGTGTGTCTCAGGTAGCACCACCCCCATTGGTTGAGCCTTTGGAGGTCTCCTGTGGCCCGGCTGAGGGGGGTAACCCTGCTGTTGGAGACACTGCGGCCTCTCGCTGCTCCTCGCGCTTGGAGACCCCTCCTGGCTTTCCGCCTCGGCCGTCTTCGCCGCCTCTGCAGCCTGTCGCGGTGGACTCCGGTGCTGCTCGGGGTGGTGACACTAGAGGCGTGGACTCTGAGTGTGCTGACGCTGGAGGTGCTGGTTCTGGGGATGCTGAGCCTGGGGGTGCTGAGCCTGAGGGTGCTGAGCCTGGGGGTGCTGACTCTAGGGGTGTTGGGCCTGGGTTTCCTGACGCTGATGCTAGAGGTACTCATGCTGGAGGTGCTGGTGCTGGCGGTGCTGCCGCTGGAGGTACTGGAGGCACTGGAGCTGGAGGTACTGGAGGTACTGGAGCTGGAGGTATTGGAGGTACTGGAGCTGGAGGTACTGGAGGTTCTAGTTCTGGGGGTGCTACGCAGTCACTGCAGCCGCGACCCTTTTTTCTGGCCAAAAGCCGCAGTCGTCGCTGCCAACACCTGGCTCGGCGCTTCGCCATGTGCTCAGTCTTCCGTCTTCCACTAGTGCTACTCCTCCTCTACTGTGTCCACCGACTGACCAGTCCCAGCCACAGTTACAGCCTGACTCCCCACTGCCTGCTCCTTCTCCTTACACTGAGTCGACAGACTCCCTGACTGAGCGTCGAGAGCCTGCGTCCGGTCTTACTCGTCGTGCTCCCCGTGTTCGTCCTCCACCTGTCCATGGCACTCACACTATGGCACTTCGTCCTTCCTCTGTTCCACAGCGTGTTGCTCCGCCGTCTCCTCCAGCGTCTCTCTTCCTGACATTCCTAACCCTGTATCTGGCCTTGCTCGTGCTACTAGTCCGACTGTCATTCCTTGTGTGGCCACACTTGTCACTGACCCTAAAATTGAGTCCTCTGCTGCGTCTGCCTTAGTCACTGAGCTAGTTGACTTTGCTGCTGCCTGTCGTATTGACTACCTTGCTAGTCTTGTTTCTGCGTCTGGCTGTCCTCCGTCCGTCGGGGGTGAGCTTGCCCTTGGCAGTGACGTCCTTGAGGATAGGCAGTTTGAGCTCGAGTGTCTCGCGGCCGGTTTACCCCATTTCGCGTCCATGCTGCTTTGCCCTGAGGGAGACCCGGATGCACTGGACATCCCCTCCCCGCACTCTTACGCAGAGGCAATCACGGGTGAGTACTCCTCTCAGTGGCAGACAACCATGGACGCAGAGATGGCTTCCTGGAAATCCACAGGCACCTACATTGACGAGGTTCCCCCTCCTGGGGTGAACATAGTCCATGGCATGTGAATTTTCAAAGTGAAGCGGCCACCAAGTTCTCCGCCTGCCTTCAAGGCGCGTTACGTTGCTCGAGGCTTCAGTCACCGACAGGGGGTCGACTTCTTCCATACCTTCTCCCCCACCCCAAAGATGACCACTCTTCGGGTGTTACT